TCACAGCCTTGATACATGAAAAAGAGGATGTTTAAAAAAATAAAAAAAGAGGATGTTTTGTTGTGTCTGGATTTCAGTGCCTTTGTGCAGCTACAAATTCCAGAGATGGTGCAAACATGCAGATCCTGGGATGCCAGGGGCTGGGGCCTGGTCTACATGTTCAGACAAGACTGCAGAAGGTCACAGTAATGTCCAAAATTAAAGGCTAAAGCTGTCCATCAAAGTAAAGATATTCCAGTGCTTAACTACAGGAAGCTATAACCAAGAATAGATTCTCCAACCTTAACCTCTCTATTCCCAAGCACTGGGTGAATCCTATATAATTAAGGGCCTTAGGCAAAGAATCTAGGTTTCTTTCCTTCTGTCCCTACAAGCAGTTGGAATAGGCACTCAGTTGGGGAGAGGGTGAATTCAATCATGATATTGTTTTCCCGAGGACCTATCAGAAGGCGTCTGGGGTTCCAATGATTAGCTCCCACTTAGTCACTGATGTACATAGATGGTCTAGTGCTGAGCACAGGAAGATTCTCACCAAGGTAACTTAGTCCTCCAGCCCAAGTTAGCAGTCTGTACTAACCGGAAGCTATGAAAGACATTCAAAATAACAAAATCTACAAACAAGCTTTCCACTGTGGATCCATCCATCAGTCTTTGTTTAGACCAACACTCGTAGCTATGATCTCCTTTGAAATTTAGAATCAAGGAACCCAAGATTATGGCTTGTGTCCATCACGCCTGAAAATGACCACTCTATAAATACTACTCTGATCATATTGCCTGGAAAACAGCTTGGGCACCACCTGCTGCCTCCTCTAACCTGCCAGTGCCTCCTTCTGCCCCCACTGTCCTCACACCTGCTTCTTCCTTACCAAATGTGTATTGTGGGCCTAGGGAACCCAAACATGGACTAGTCTCACTCTGACTGCAAATCCCATCAGCAGCAAGAAACACCATCTTATGGACCACAGAATACCTTAAGAGATTTTGCTTCAACATTTTTCTCTGTCTATCTTATTTTCCCATCATACTACAAGGTACTTTATGGGTCAGAGTCCTCATCTTTGCTTCTCCTAATTCTTCTTTAGAAATCTGCAACCATAATATCTAACAGAATACTGAAAACACAACTTCCAGATTAAACTGAACCTACCTCAGACTTGGCAAG